GCGTGTCAACCACACCACACAGCTTGGTGTCAGTGGCAAACTTGCTGAGGGTGCACTCAGTCCCACTGTTCTGGTGATGGGTGCTCCCTACTGTGCTTGAACCTTGGACCACTGGTGTGCAAAGACAGAAAGAAAGTTGGAGCTCTGCTTGTAGAAAAGAGGTCGCCCAACTGTTTGGTTGTTGACATAGGGAAAATGCCCTGGAGGTTGGCGTGAGGATAAAAACCACAGTTTGGGTGGGCACTGCACAAAACCCCTGTCATTGCCGTGAATCTGGCGGCTCTTCTGCCCCTCCACAGTGCCTTTGAGAACATCTCCTTGCTCATCAGGTCCCTCTCGGCACAAAATCGTACAGATCTCCACGTCCATGATGCTCTGGTGCCAGCCACACCATTGCAGGCAGGGCTGGCAAAGGGACAGGTTTGACGTCACACTGTGTGTGGTGTAACCATGGGCCGCTGGAAGCACAGATGCTGCTCTGCCTTGGCTCCTGGGGTCTGCTGTGGTGCTCATGTGGCCACCAGCCGGCTCAGTTGGGCAAGCTGGCCCAGCAGAAAGCCACGTGCCTTTCTTTGTCTCGGCTGGATTTTAGATGAATCGCTGCCCTGAACTGTCCGTGGCAGCGGTGGGGAGGCTGGTCCTGATTCCAAGGAGGGGGACTATATGGCAGCAAGGCTGGCTGCTGCTTCTGGCAAGCTAGGGTTGCCTTCCTTGAAGGTGTTGGGGTGAAAAATAGCCTTGGAAAAGAACCGTTGTGCTTCGGGAAGTGATGGGAGGTAAATGCCCAGAAGAGAGAAGGGCTAGGAGTTGGCAGGCACATCTGTCTGACAGGCTAATGGCAGCAAAGCCTGGCCCAACATCTTCACCTATTTACCTGGCTGTGGGACAGGCTTTACCCGAGCCTTTGATTTCTCCCTTTACATTTTTTTGCCTTTTCCTGTCCTAACGAGAACCGGTTTTGTAGAGGGGCTGGAGCAAAACCATCAAAGCTAATAGTTCTGGCATTCCATCTTAGTAATACTGAAGTGTTTGCTGAGGTATTTTAGTTGCCGCCTACTGCTTTTTTCCAGGCGTATTCTTGTTGACTTTAAATAGCCATCAAGAAAGTGCTGCAGCAGCTGGGCTGCTGTGCGGAGCTGATGGAGACCTCAAGCACGCGTTGAACCTGTGGTGGGTCACCTCGATCTGGTGCTCTTGAGACAGAGCAGTGGACGTAGCCACAGGGCTCTGCTCTCTGGCCATCACGTAGGAGAGGGTACCTGCAAGGAGAGGTCTTGAATCCTGTGGCATGTGCTGGGGAGAAAACCTTCTCTGTGTCCTCAGCCAGCGGTTGGCCTCGGCAGGTCTTCTGGCTACAGGAAGCTGGAGGAAAACTGTCTCTTTTCTTAGCTCCTTCCCTCCTCATAGCGAGGAACACATGGGCAAAGCCATGTTCTTCTCCAAGGGTGCCCCATGGAGATCCCCAAGGAAAAGCCAGTCTTTAGAGAGAAGCTGGAGTGCCAAGAACTTTCTCTGAGGGGAGTGTTTATCCTATTATTTTCCGAAAATCATTTCCTACCATGCTGGGAAATTAGCCAGCCAAAGTACAAATTACCCAGCAAGGAAATCGCTACCTCCAGATTAATTCCGAGCTGTTTTGTCTCTTCCGTGTTTGGCTGATGTGAGTGTTAGGTAAATGTTTGTACAGCACAGGGAATTGCCCCTCTTTCTTCTCTTTTCTAAGGGTCAGAGAGATGGCAGCCGTTGGCACTTGCGTGCAGCCGGGCTTCCGTGCCTGCTGCGAGCGGGCTGCGTGCCAGCCGTGCGCGGGAGCCGAAGCGGAGACGAGCCGGCCACAGTGGCCAGCAGCCTCTTCCCAGGAGACACGGGTTCCTGACGCTTCATCCTGAACTTGTTCTGCAGAGCAGTGAAGTCCTGAGTTTAGCAATGAAATCAGATAATCTCTCCCCTCCGCGCAAAAGATAAAACCTGCTTCTCTTGGTGTCCTCCCTAGGTGGATCTCCAGGAGTGAACCGACTTTTTTGTTGCCGGTTTTTTATTCCTGCTTTAATTGGTTCCTCTCTAATTTAGCCAGTCCCACTCATCTGGGTCTCTCTGAAAAAAAACCTTTGCTCTCCTCTCCCACTGGTGCAGTGAGCCCTGGAAGTAGTGAGTGCTGAATGCCGTGCGAACTACAACGTCTGTGTCAGCCCCGTTGCAAGTGGGGCCACGTGTCCGTCCAGCTGCAGGACACTCAGACACAGTGGTTCCTGCTTCGTTGCTCTCAACAAGGTGGAAGCTCACCAGGTAGATGTTATTTTTTTGTGAAGACACAGGAATTTCTCGAATTTCTTTCCCATGACAGTCAATCCCTGAAGCAAAGCACGAGATGTGCTTAGCTGCGTTAATCAGCTCACCCGGAGTGTCTGACTGAAAAATCTCCTGCGGAAGATAAATATTGATGTTGATATTTTTGGTCATAGACTTAAACCTGTAACTTCAGATCAGAATCTGGGGGTGGGAAGACCTAGATGAGAAATTTGTGACTCAACATCAGCTAACAGGGCCTGAATGGAACCCGCACATCTAAGGCAACACTCACGTCAGGAGAGCAGGACGTCCTCGTTGGCTCTGAGTCTTGGCTCTCGGTCGCATCTCTGACTACGTACTTTCACATTTTCCACATCTCTTGCTCTTTCTTTTCATTAATTGTCCTCTTCTTTTCACCACATCAGAGGAGGTGGCCTCAGCGTTTTTGCTTTCTGCTCACCTCTGCCAGACCCTGGAGCACCCAGAATCAGGAGCAAGTAGAGACGGAGTTTTGCAACCTTGTTTGTAGGTGCAAGAACAGGCCAAGAGTTTAGCACAGTTGGGGAGGATCAGTCAAAGGGTCGTTTGTGAATTCCAGTTCCTGGGCTTGTTTTGGGTTTGCCTTGGCCTCTACATAGCTCAGATATTTTGGAGCTGATCTAAATCATGTGGCTTGCAAATGGCCTCTCCAAAGCAATCGGATGGAGCGTGCTGCTACTTCAGCCACAGTGGATCTTCTGTGCTGCTGGGTTGGATGAGCAGGGTGACGATGGGTGGGTGGGCTGAAGATGGGTATGCTGGCTCTGAAAGGGTGGAAGTTTCCCCAGCAGTGGGCTGTGCTCCCCCGTCAGAGCATGTCCCTGCTGCTTCGGGCTTCAGGAGCAGCGCGGAGGGCTCGGAAGGGTGGGTGTCAGGAGGATGGGGCCAGACTCTTTTCAGTAGTGCCCAGCGACAGGACAAGGGGCAATGGGCACAAACTGAAGCAGAGGAAGTTCCAGCTGAACGTGAGGAAGAACTTCTTCCCTCTGAGGG